TTGTCGTGGCTCGGGGATCCGCCGTGGTGGGGTTTTTTTTTCCCCCTCAAGTTTTGCTGCTATTTTTTTTTTTTTTTGTGTAGGGAGGCATGAGGGTTTCTCAAAAATCAAAAAGGGGGCGTGATGCCAAAAAGTTTGGGAACCCCTGGTCTAGACGGTACTGGATCCTGCCCTGAGGACAGGGGATTGGACTCAATGAAATCTCAAGGTCCCTTCCAGTTCTAATGTTCTATGATTCTCTGAATGCAAGGGCTTGCCTGTACAGTGTTACCATGGCACCTAGAGCTGGAGATTTCTCCACCTCATACTCTTCCTGGTGTGCTGTGCTTATGCTCTCAACATATTGCACCATTAGGCCCACCAAGGTAGACATCAATATCACAATGGTATGATGCAAAACGGGACCCATGATTGCACTAATATGGCATCTGCATGGGCAACCATTGATCTCAATCAAGGGGGGAGGGAGAAGACGAGTGCATTATGGGATGCTGACATGAACTCATAACCACCTGCTGCAAAGTTTTGGTCCCAGTGTACACTGGGAGCATAACCCAGAATGCAAAGCAGCACTGGAACTGTGAGGATAGCTACCCACAGTGCATCACTCTCAAAGTTGATGGCAGTTGCCCTAATGGGGACACGTTACTTCAAACTACTTTGAATTCTTCCCCGCAGTGGAGACGTGGACCTTTGACCTTTGACCAGAAATCCACCATAGTAGATTTGACCTCATCTCATGGTGTACACATGGCCTCAGTCTTCTTTTTTCCAAACTAAACAAATCGATTTCTTTCAATCTTCCCTCATAGGTCATGTTTTCTAGACCTTTAATCATTTTTGTTGCTCTTCTATGAACTTTCTCCAATTGGTCCACATCTTTCCTGAAAATGCGGTGCCCAAAATGGCACACAATACTCCAGTTGAGATCTAATCAGTGTAGAGTGGAGCAGGAGAATGACTTCTCGTGTCTTGCTCACAACACTCCGGTTAATGCAGCCCATAACGATGTTTGCTTTTTTTGAAAGTGTTACACACTGTTGACTCATATTTACCTTGTGGCCCTCTGTGAACCCCCTAGATCCATATCCACAGTACTCCTTCCTTAGACAGTTGCCTCCCAGATTGGTATCGTCCACAAACTTTATAAGCATATTCTCTATGCCATTGCATTAAATCATTGGATATTGAGCAGATCCATTCCCAAAACTGATCCCTGCGGAACCCTACTTGTTATGCCCTTCCAGCATGATTGTGAACCAGTGATAACTACTTCCTGAGAATGGCTAGCCAAACAATTATGCACCCACCTTATAATAGCCCCCATCTAGGTTTATTTACCTAGTTTTTTGATAAGGTCATGCAAGACTGTATCCAATTATTTACTACAGTCTAGGCATACTGCATCAACCACTTCCCCCTTATCCAGAAGGCTTGTTAACCTATCAAAGTTATCAGAATGGTTTGTTCTTGACAAATCCATGCTGACTGTTACTTATCTTATTGTCTTCCAGATGTTTGCAGATGGATTCCTTAATTATTTGCTCTTTCCTAGCACAGATGACTGGTCTGTAGTTTCCTGGGTTGTCCTTATTTTCCTTTGTATAAATAGACAATATATTTTCCCCTTGCAGTCTTCTAGAATCTCTTTCATCTTCCATGCCTTTTCAAAGATGATAGCTAATAGCTTAGGCAGCTCCACAACCAGCTCCTTGAGTATTCTAGGATGCATTTCAGGAGGCCCTGGTGACCTGAAGACATCTAACTTATCAAAATAATTTTTAAATTTTTCTTTTCCTATTTTAACTTCTGAGCTTACCTCATTTGTGCTGGCATTCACTTTGTTAGGCTTCCAATCACCAACCTTCTTGATGAAAACCAAAACAAAGAAGTCATTAAGGATCTTTGCACTTTCCACATTTTCTGTTACTGTTTTCTACTCTACAGTCCTAAGCTTTTCTTGGTCTCTGTGGTAGGGTGTTTGCCCTGCACTGTCCCTTTAAAGGCAAAACCCCAGCCCTGAGCAAGGGCTGAGCGCGAAGTCCCAGTGGAGGCAGTTCTTGCTAATGTGGGCCCAGCCGCGGGCTATGTAAAGAAGGACTCCTGGAGGGAGAGGGAGAACTGACTGCTACTCTGGAGACAGAGCAGTAGAGAGTATGACTGCCAGGGAAGCAGGAGGCTTCCTGGAGGTAGAGCAGGGCTGGGGAGGCAGCCAGGTTAGGCAAAGGCAGCGGATCCACACTCCTTTGCCAGTGATGAGTGGACATTCCAGGTGCAGTTTGCCCGAGGCAGGGGCTAGATGAAGACTGGCAGTGGGTCACTGAGGCAAGGTGGGTACAAGGGAACTGGGTGCTCCCTGGGAAGAGAACAGAGTGCCCTGGGGAGGGGAGGATCGGATCCTGGAGTGCAAGCAGGAAAAACACCCACTCCTGGAAGGGGGCTCAGACACTGGAATGGGCACTGCTGGAGGGCAGTATTCTGAAGAGGACGCCGAGGTCCATAAATGACACACGTGGCATGGACTAGAGAGGGCAGGGGAGACACCAGCTTGAGGGAGGCATCCAGCGAGTCAACAAGCTAATTCCCAGAGCAACCAGCTGGAGGCGCCATGATGGTGAGTCTGCCCTATGAGTCTTCCTCGTTTCTAATGTATTTGTAGAGCATTTTCTTGTTGCCCTTTATGTGTCTAGCTAGACTGAGCTTGTTTCGTGCCTGGGCCTTTCTAATAGTGTGTTATGTATTCACATTCACCCCTTGTATGTGACCTTGTTTCCTCTCTTTAGAGCTCCTTTTTGATTTTCAGATCATTCAAGATCTCTTGGTTAAGCCAGGGTGGTCTCTTGCCAGACTTTCTATCTTTTCTAGGAATAGTTTGCTCTTGTGCTCTTAATAAAGTCTATTTGAAAAAAATGTCAATAGTCTTCAATTGTTTTTCCTCTTGGACTTGCTTCCAGTGGGACTGTGACGGGGTATAGACACAGAAGACGCCTGGGGGGGCTTCCCAGAGTGCTGACAAGGTCACTGACACTCACCTTCCTGCTCTCTGGGGCTTCTTGCTACCCTGTCCTGCTGGGCCAGCTCTGCTGATCTCCCCCAGCCAAGGTACAGAGCTGAAATTACTCCCCGCCCCCCCGAGAAGCAATACAGACACAAACTCTTCAAGTCCAAGGAAAAGTCAGTTTGGGGTCCAGCTTCCCAGGATACTACTCCCCAAATGGGATCAGAGCCCCAAATGCATTATTTAGGTAAGCCCCCTTTAATAAAAGGAGGATGTGCACATTGATTGCTCCCTCAGATAACAATTATTTACTCCGGGCTTGACAGTACATAAAAGTGATTTTATTAAGTACAAGCAGTAGGATTTAAGTGGTTATAAGTGAGAACAGGCAGAGCAAAGTAAATTACAAACGTAAACCAACAGAAAACGCTTATCTAATTCTGACACTAAAACCTTCTTACAAACTCACTCAAACTGTTCCTGTTCCAGCTAAGCCTTCAAACCAGGGACGTTCCCTTTTCCTGGGGTCTTGGATTCATTCCCTTGGGTGTGCCACTCCAGCCACACACAGACCCTGCTAACCTTCCCATTATTTTTATGCATACCCTTTTACATGGGGAAGTTACCTGGCCAGTCACTTGACTTCCTAAAACCAACTACTGCTAAGACTTAAAGGATAAAAGAGGGTGTTTACATATGATTCCCCAGACATGGAAGCGTCCCAGCATTGGAAACACTCCTGATGGTTTTCCAAAATCGTAAAACATTCCAAAATCGTAAAGCATTCCATACTCCATATATGTAACTTTACACATAAGAATGATACATGCACAAAAATAAGATATATAGATACAGCAGATTATGACAGGAAAATCTATAGGTTACATGAGAGAATTTGTCCAAAACATCTTTGAGTTAGGCACATCTGTATCCACAAGTCAATTTTTTAAAGCATAGGGGGTCCGTCACAGGGACTTTACCTACCAACTCCCGGAGTTTGTTAAAGTCTGCCTTCTTCAAATCCATTATCTTTATTTTGCTCTTCTCCCGCCTAACATTCCTTAGTGATTCATGAACACTTTCATTTCATGATCACTCTCACCCAACTTGCCTTCTTTCGGATTCTCAACCAGTTCCTCCCTATTTGTTAAAATTAAATCTAGAAGTAGCTTTCTCCACCTTCTGAAATAAAAAAAAGTTCTCCAATACATTCCAAGAACTTTTTGGATAATCTGTGCCCTGCTGTGGTTTTTTTCTCCCAACAGGCGTCTCGATAGTTGAAGTCCTATGAAGTCCATCACCACCATGTCCTGTGCCTTGGATGAATTTGTTAGTTGTTCTAAACAAACAAACAAACAAACAAAAAATCTCACCCATCTCTTCTTTCTGGTTAGGTGGTCTGCAGTATATCCATACCATGACATCACCCTTATTTTTTACACCCAGAGACTCTGAACAAGTCAATCTCCTATGTCTATCTTGACCTCAATCCAAGTGTATATACCGTAAGTATATAAGGTAAAATCTTTTTTTCCTTTTTCCTCTTCCTGAGCAAGCAGAATCCTTTTATACCAATATTCCAGTCAGGAGCCATGGAAGATGGATTGAGCAAAGGGGGAGGGGAGTGCAACTCTGAAAAGTTAGGTGATCACTTTGCTAGTGGAATTTACTGGTTAAACACTAGACGTTACATAGAAAAATGGAAGCGTAACTCCTTTATTTTTTTATTTTTAATTTTTCTTTTATTCCAGATAGCACTACAAAGACATTCAAATATTAAAGCCACACTACAGGCCATTCTTTAAACACAAATAAAATAAAATAACAAAATGAACTGTGTCATGTGACCCTAGAACACAACATTGTCAAAATAAAAGTTCTTTAAAAAAATCCCATTGGGCAATCAATTTGAGAAACCCTTCACATAGAAACAGGTTGATCCAATCAATTACTGGCTGCCCAATGCTGGCAATCAGCTTTCCCAGACGAGCTGCCTGACTGCACAAGTGCTGAGACCAACCTCCTCACCCCATTTCTATTAGTGCAGCTAGAACACCCTTCCTTTGCTCAGCATCAGTAGATTTTACAGGATGGTAGCCCAAGAAAGCAGAGCTATCAAAGCCTGACATTTTGTGAGAGGTACTGAGGAGAAACTTCTGGCTTTAAAAATAGACTAAATGTCAAACTGTGCAGATTTTTTTAAAGCAGCTTTTCCCCCATGACAGTCCTGATCACCTCTCTTTAGAAGGCACTAATTGGTATGTAGAGAATATCTGTGATTAGTGATTACATTGTCAAGTAACAGTTAGCATCTGACCCTGTTCTTAGCACTTCTGCTTCAGACTGTTTAGAGTGTCACCTCTACTGGCACATATTTAATGCTTTCCTGGAAGAGAAAAAGCTATGCAAAGCTGCAAACCACAATATCAAACAGGAGAAATCCTTCTAGTTTTTCACCCCCTCTCTCTTTTTAGGTTTAGACAGCATGTTTTATAGCGGTGTTTTTAAGTACATTGTGTTCTGTATCATGGAGAATTGTAACCCAAGGGAATTAAACATTTCGGACACTCTCATTTCTACTGCCCACTGTCATTTACAGACAAGTTGGCTGCTTTGCCAAAAATGGCTTTGAGCGAGTAGCTTATGTAACTCTTTACAATGCAGCATTCGCTTCACTGCCCCAAAGGGGAAGCCCACAAAGTGCAAGGATCCTTCTTCTCCCAAAGTCTCAAACTTGTCAATTTCAAACAGACACTACAGATCCAGCTAGAAAATGACTCCAATTTCATGCTGGGAATGTAATATGAACAAGGAAGTGTTTGTAAAGATGCGAACCCAATAAGTTTGTGTTTTCCTTTACATATCATGGGACATATTTAAAGCTTAAGAGAAATACCAGAGTTTTTTTTAAATGCCTGCCTCAGCCTACCTATTTTGCTGTGGGAGGGTTTCTTCTGGAGTTCAGGGGAGGGCATGGGAAGGGAATGTAATAGAGGAAGAGGGACTATTGCCATAATCAACTTTACTTTTATGGAATGATTAAATTTTTGAAATGATTTAAGCACAATTTAGAACAAATCTACACCACGTTATTTCAAGGGGAAAAACATTAAAATTGCCAAATGTCGAAGACTAAACAGAAACTCATATTTATATATAAAAATTAAAGTCAGATGAACTTTATCTTAGTAAAGGCGACAACAGTGGTTAGGCATCACATTCCTCCTTTTTGTCCTTCTTCCTGTTGCCCTCGACTGGCTCACTGGTGTCTCGTCTTCTTTTTCTGTTGCGTACATTAAGTCTATTTTTAGGAGGTGGCAAAGGGTCCATTCCAAGTACTTTGTGTATCTGCCTGAAAGCTAGCATCCTTAAAGCATGCTAGAGGAGGAAGGAAAAGAAACATTAAGGACAGAAGAAACATTGACAAGATAGGTGTAGGCATGACATGGCTAGTACTACATAGCCTACAGTACCTTCTGTGTATAGCAGCCTTTAACCACCATCCTACAGGATGGAGTTTAAAGTTAATGATGACAAAACATTCTAAATATCAAGGACAGATATAAAAATATAAATACCTTATTGAAAAGCTGCTGAGAGTTCATAACTTCAATTCAAATCAGTGGAAGCTGAGCTAATCAATTCCTCTGAATAATCAGGCCTAAAAATGTTCGTCCTAATCCAAAATCTGAAGTCAATGAAAATCTTTACAATAGTTTCTAGATTTTAAAAAGATGTTCTCAAAGCCTAACTAAGACCTAAAAACTACTCTCCTTTGTTTAGTAAAAGAATCATTGTGAATTCCTAAATCAAGTATATGACTTCAGCCTGCTGCACTGGAGACATTAGACAAAAGCTAATAAACTAAAAGTATTTTTAATTTTTTCTACTATGTGCTGTCTGGCTTGCAAGAGGATTTTTTTAAATTTTAAAATTGCATTACATTATCTGCCAACATCCCAAGAATCTTTGACTGATATTAATGCCATTACTTTTATGTGGCCAGTAGAAACAGATTTTAGATGCAAAAAACAGAAAATGCAGCCCACAGCTTGCCTTTCCACATAAAATCTGATGAAATTGCCAGCTTTTATTGCTGGTTGATGTGAAGAAGAATTACCATGCAAATCATTAAGAAAGTTAATAATAGTTATACAGAAATATGGTTGTGCACATTTTAAAAAGTATTAAGAATACATGGATTTATATTTGATACTGTTACACTAAGCACCAAAGATAGCTAACAAGATTAGAGAACAAAAAATAATTTTTTCATTGCATTTATTTTGACAATTCTGTGTCACTAGTTTCACACAGGCAGTTTGCCCGTGTCTTTATGTATTTACCCCTTAATCCAGGGCTACTCAACACGTGTTTGTTTGCGGCCCACAGTGCAGTTTGGGTTTACGTGGGGCTCAACACACGGCTCACAGGTGGGATGCTTTGAACATGGCCTCCACTGGGAACTTGCTTCACAACGGTGAGGTGTTTCCCAAGCAAGCAGGGTAAGCAAGCAGACCGGCTAGCTGGAACAGACAGGTACGGGGTGTCGGCATTTCTAACCCCTGGAGAGGAGGTGCCAGGAGTGCCGGGGATTGTGGGAAGTGCTGGCTGCTTAGCCTTGCGGGCAGAGCCTGAGAGGTGCCGACTGGCTCACACTGGCCACGTTTGGTGCCGTGGCTTAAGGCTTAATCTTGGTATTCATGCCCATCAGTGTGAAACTATTTGCATACATATTTGAATGTATATGCAAGCACACTTAAGTTGCAGCCCTCGGCATGTGCTGAGAGTAGCATTGTGGCCCTGGCGCTTCCAAAGTTGAGTAGCTCTGCCCTACTCCCTCCAACCTACTCAGGAGAGAAAAGCTTTTTGAAAATAGAAAAATAAATGGACAGGGAGACTTGGGGATAAATGTAATACTGAAAGTGACTTACCTCTCTTTGAAGGCAACTTTATTTTTTCATGTCACATATTTTTCATATTGATGTATTTCTTTATTTTTAAAAAGTGTATAAATTAGATGAAGCTTTCATGGTCAGAGTTAACAACATGGCTTTTGGGATCACAAACACATACAATCGCAAACCAGAGATTGCCCCTTACCATGGGTTCTGTAGCTGGAAAAGACATAGTAACTTCAAATGCCAAAGTATACCAGATGCCTCACTTTGCAGAATGTTTTTATGGAAGTTTCCTTCTCAGTGCTATTAGAAATAACTATCTTATCTACCTGGGCACTGGCTGTAATATCCTCTCTTTCCTGACTGGTCATAGTCTCTAGAGCATCCATTTCATCTTTTTCGCAGGGATCCTGTAGCCCAGGTCCATCTGAAAGCAAGGGGAAGGAGGAGTCACAACACTAAAATACACTATGTTCGGGATTTTAGAAAAAGATGCTTAATAAAAATCACATTTACATAATTTCTTAATGTAGTGTTGGTTACAGTATTACTGACACTGCTTTTCACAAGTTATGCAATTTGGTTACTTTTTTTGCACTTCATTCAACTTCAACAAGGAAATCTGGCTATTCAATTTCCTTTCTGGATTCTTAGGGACTGGCACAGAATGCTTGGATTTTCACATTTCTATCAGAGGCAGCAAGAAAGGGGAGAGCAGGAGCCGGTGCTGGAGGGAGCTGTCTTAAAAACCGGTTCCCCCCAGCACTGTCTCTGCGGGGGGTAGGGGAGGCTGCTGCGAAACAGCCCCTGTCCGCAGGGGTCCCATTGGGGAGCTTGGCCCCCCTGTGGCCATGGACTGCTGCTGCCAAGCAGCTCCTGTTTGTGGTGGCCATGGCTGTCCGCCACGAACAGAGGCTGCTGGACTCAGTGTGAGCCGGGACCCAGAATTACTCAGTCTCAGTTCAAGCCAACTCCCCCACTGCAGAGTGGTCCTATCCACAAACTGCATCGACTATATGATTAGCTAGGTAACTGCCATTTAACATCCTTATTTTAAGTACTTCAAAATAAAAAATAATCAATTCCTTCCACCAATAAAAAAGGCACAACACATCTGCCATTTTCTGAAAGAAAAGCTACGAGAACCACTGAGTCCTCGGATCAGTAGTGGACAAAGTGTATTCCAACAGTCATACTTTCACACTTGTTCATGGGAAACCATAAAAAATGTAACGTGCCACAGAATGACAATACAGATGACACAGTCCATCTGTGGAGCAACATGAAAGATATTAGTTTAGAACTGACCCATCAAGAGTGTTCCTGTAGCTACACATTCAAGAACACGGCGCATGGCATCTCCAGGACTTAAAGGAATCGTTGCACTATTTAAAGCCTTTTCTACTAGAAGTTCCATTGCCTGTAGGAAGGACACAATCAGGATTGAATTTTAAATGAGAGAATGAAGATAAAATACACCACAATTTTTTAAAAATAAAAGCAATGCTGTGTCCTGTTCCAAAAGAGGCTGGCAGCCTCTGCAGAAGGCAAAGACAACTATTTTCTTAGGGCCGTATTACTTTTTAGTTCCTTGAAACTAAATTTAAGATACTGCTAAGGTAGCCTTGTAAAACCATCACTATCATCTAAGCTCCTGCAAAAAAAAAAGTTGTCTACTTGTGCTGTGAAAATAATAATAAAACCATTTTACTTGTCACCAAAAATTACTTACAAAAGAAAACGGCCAAATAGAATTATCCAAGGCTGAGCTTAAGAGCTCAGTTCAGAGTTGGCCACTAACTTATTTCTAGAAATTCTCTAACAAATTACGTGATGGAGTTCTGCATTTAGAGAAGGCGTCAGCAACCTTTTCAAACCAAAGAGGCAAACTACATCAAAATTCATAACAAGTGGTCAGCAAAGAGCCATGCTCTGCCCTCTCCCCTCCACAGGCTGCAGGACCACGTGCCCTGTGAGTAAGAGCCTGAGGGGAGATGGGAGTGGTGCATCGTGCGCTGCCTGTTCTTGAAACAGGCTGCTTCCATTGGCCAGAACTGGCCGACAGGATTGTTGGAAGCAACCATAAAGCACCACTCTCTTCCACTGTGTGGAACACCAACGGCCCGGCAGCTGCTTTTCTGAGAGGTGTGCGGGGGTGGGGCAAGCAGTGGAGGGTGTTTGGGGGCTCCCTGCTGTGTCTGCAGCTGATTTGTTTTGCCCTGGTCTGTTGTACCCGCCAGCGCAGGCTCCCTGCTGTGGGGGGAAACAAGTGGGGGCTGGGCTTGAGCTTCAAAAGAGCCATATGCGGCTCCTTAGTGAGCCATATTTGGCTCACGAGCGATAGGTTGTCGACCCCTGATTTCGAGTCTTTACAGCAGTCTGGTCACTTTCTTAGGAAAATTAGGACTGACCAAAGAATATGGACCACTGTAGGCTCCATGGGATCATTTAGACTTGCTCTTGCATGGTTTCTTTGGTTATTTATTAGTTGACAATAGCCCTGCTATTTTTAAAAAAGTGCCAATAAATGTTCAAGTTTATCATCACTTCTTAATTACATTAGTTTGAAAAGCCAACCAGTGAAATTCATGTCACCTTTTATCCAGTGATTCTATTATGTTTATATGAGTCTAATCTACTATGAATTTGAGAGAGTTTGTCTGTGGATGAGCGAGTCTGTCTCTCTGCCTCCCTGTCCAACAACTCCTCCTAACAATAAGAGCTACGACCACCAAGTTCGGCATACAACTTCCTCTTATCAGAACTTAAAGCAAGGTAAGGGTTTGGCTGTGCATGGGGAGCTTCAACTCCCCCCACCCCCGACGTGTACAGGGAGGCATAAAACCATACAGAGAATAGAGAATCACCAGGCAGGTTGAAAGGGCTGGCTGGGGACACTCCCCCACAGCCGGGACTACCCCAGTCTCCAGCCTCCCACCCCCAGGTCCTTTATAGAAATGCTGGGGGGGCACGGGTCGGGGCTGAAGCTTCCACCCTCCATTGGTACGGGAGCATTGATGGCTGTTCCCCTTCATCAGGGAACAAGGGGAAAGGGCAGATTACTGCATTTCTCTTTGGCTGGGGAGTGCAGGGAGCAGATGAATCTGGACCCTCATCAACTGTGCCTCCTGGAGCTGCAGAAGCTAAGGAGAAGTGCTTCTCACCTGTCCCCAGGCTGCTGCAGTAGGAGAGGGTTGGGTTAGTCTTCTCTCCCCAGCACAGCCTGCATTCTGAACCCTTTGTCTCCAGTCTGCCCAACAGCAGTGATTTAAATGAAGAAAAACAAGGACCCAAGTAATGCTGGGTAAATAGTCCAGTACTATTATATTAGACGTCTTGTCCAATCATCAGTATTAGTTACACTGCACTAAAAGTTCCCAATCAAGATTAAGGTCCCCTTGTACTGGACATTGTATACACGCACAATAAGACAGTTCTGGGCACATCATATGTGAGTCTCCCAGCTGCAGTAAGAGCTGGAAGAGAAAGGATAGCAATGGGAAGAAAACAAATGTGCTTCTCTTTCAATAAGCCAATTCATCCCCTTATCACAGGTTAACTGAGCATGTGTGGAAAGAGGAAATGATTCGGGGAGTGGGGAAGGGAGCTGGGTGGGGAAAAACCTGAAGCAGGGGATCTGGCCCCCCAGAGCTCACTGGCAGCGGCAGGGGAAGCAGAGGTAGGCTCACTTTGCTCTCCTGGCAAGCCGCTCCGGGATAGGGGGTGAGATCGCCCCCATTCTCACCAGCGGGAACCAAAACGACATGGCCAGGGGAGCAAAGCAAACCAGGGCTACCTTGCTCTGCTTCCCTTGCTGCTGACAGCAATGTTCCCTCTAAGCTAGGCCTTGGCAAAATTTGGCCCGCAGGCCAAATGCACCCTGCCAAGCCACCAGATTCAGCCCACGGATGCTGCGGGGAGCCTCAGGCAGGCTCCCTGCTTGCCTGAATCCACCCGCACACTGCTCAGAAATGTGGCTGTAGGGCAGGTTTTTTTTAAAAAACTATGAGTCTGGAAGGGAGGGGGGTACGTCTACACTAGCCCCCTAGATCAATCTAGGGAGGCTAATGAGGGCGACCGGAATTGCAAATCAAGCCCGGGATTTAAATATCCCACACTTGATTTGCATGTTCCCAGCCGGTCGCCATTTTAGAAACTGACTAGCCCGAGGTAACTGCCCACGTCTACGCGCAGCAGTGAAAGGGGATTCTGGAATAAAGCCTTAAATCGAATTAGGTGGTATTCCTCTAGTCAATTTCTAAAATGGCGACCAGCCGGGAACATGCAAATCAATCATGGGATATTTAAATCTCGGGCTTGATTTGCAGTTCCGGTTGCCCTCATTAGCCTCCCTAGATCCATCTAGGGGGCTAGTGTAGACATACCCGGGGGGAAGCTTTAGGAGCTGCTGCCATCCCCAGCATAATCCCAATAACAGGCAGCCATAAAGCACAAGGGGCTCCAGAGCACATGGCTGCACCCTATGCTGCGGGAGGGGGGAAAAAGGGCAAGAGAGGACAGGCAGGGAGGCTGATTCAGGAACTGCTGCTGGCCAGTAAGTCTTCTGACAGAGCCTACCTCTGGCACCCCAGTCCCTTCCTTCCCCAACCCTCTGCCCCCTGCTCCACATCCCCAAATCCTTTGCTCCCCTCCTGTACCCATATCCCCTTCCAGATCCAGCACTCCAATCTCCTGCCCCAGATCATAGTCCCCTCCTGCCCTAGCTCACAACCCAATTCCCTGCCCTAGCTCACAATCCAACCCCTTTAGCCCCAGTCCAAAACTGCCTCCCTTACCCCAAGCTCCCTTCTGTACCCAACCTCCATCCCAGACCCCGCACCTCCTCCATTAATATCATGGAAGTGTGCGGCCCTCGACCACGTACCAAATTCTTGGGAGTGGCACCCTATCAAAAATTATTGCCCTCCCCCGTTCTACGCTATGCAGCAACACAGCCCTGCAGCTGCTTAATCAGCCCTGACCAGCCAGGGGCTCAGGAGCTGCCTGACTGGGTGGGGCTGATTAGGGCTGTGCTGCTGCGCAGTTTAGAGGGAACCGTGGCTGCTGGTGAGTGCAGAGGGTAGGGGCAGATCCTTGCTGCCAGTGACACTAGCCCCACTACAGCCACACTAGTCCCCCTAGCCACCTTGGTTGGGGAAAGAGGTGGGGCAGGACAAAGGGTAGAGGGGGGGTTGTCCTGGCCCTTTCCCACACTGTGCAGGGGTAATCAAGTGGTTGGGTCTCTCCTCTGCCAACACATATTTAACCCTGTACATAGTGCCTACAATCATGCCGGTGTGGCTGTTCACATTCTGAGGAAAGCAACCTCCTCTCACAGAGCTTTAGCTGAATCATACTGCTTAGGCAGCCTGCAGCCATGGGCTGAGGCACTGTATGTTATAGCCAGATAAGAAGTGGAAAATCTGAGATGACTGCACGTATGTGTTAATTATTTCTCAACTGTCATATTCTCCACCCCTGTAAAAGTATCTGGAATTGAATAACTACAAACATTTCAGAGGGGAAGCAGTGTTAGTCTGAATCTGCAAAAGCGATGAGGAGTCCTGTGGCACCTTATAGACTAACAGATTTATTGGAGCATAAGCTTTCGTGGGCAAAGACCCACTTTGTCGGATGTTTGCCCACGAAAGCTTATGCTCCAATAAATCTTTTAGTCTATAAGGTGCCACAGGACTCCTCGATGTTTTTACATAAATTTGTTTTGGTGAAGAAGCTATAGAGGATCGATTCCCAGTTGCTGAAAGCAGCTCTCTTGTTATGTACAGGGTCAAATATGTGTTGGCAGAGGAGAGACCCAGTCACATGATTACCCCCACACAGCATGGAAAAGGGCCAGGACAACCCCCTTCACTGGTTCCACCCTTTGCCCTGCCCCACCTCTTTCCCCAACCAAGGTGGCTGGGGGACTAGTGTGGCTGGAGGGGGGGC